GAGAAAAAAAAAGAAAAAGTGAATTATTTCACTTACATAAAGTGAATCTTATGCCCCATTTATGTAAGCAAAATGAGATTTTTAGTGAGAAACCTTATGATCAATATCTCATACTAATTTTTTTGATTTTCTCAATTTTAAACAATTAAGAAGATCACGATTGGTTAGTTTTCATTTAACTTTTATTTTACAATCCTACATAGAGGTTTTGATTTAAAAAAAAATTTTGTTTGAGATTTTGAAAGTCTTATAATATCTCTCCTTAAAAGTATTCTTTTGTAAAATATATAGATATATTGATAATCTCAATGCCACTATTACTGCTCCTAAATACAAAAATTATGAGATAATTATGATAATTTTAAATTTGTATTTAAAACTTATAAATTATGGGATAAATTGTTATAATTTTAAATTTATATTGTGTCAATTTTAAATTTAAATTAATAGATTACTTTTCATATTTAGTGACAGTTTAAATTTTAATAAAATAAAATTTAAAAGTTTTAATTAATTAATTTTTGTGTAAGCTGATTGGCCTTTTGACCTAACTAATTAAGTTAAATTATTTTTGGTTTGAATAATTTGCTAGTTTAACTGTAATTTAAGCGGTTTTACATGTTATGATAATTTTTCTTACTCATTAAGTTTTTAAAATTTCTTTAATTATTTCTCTTTCAAAAACCAATATGACAATTTTTTAAAATTCACATATTTTTATTCTAAAATAGTGAAATATTATAATTATGTCATTTTTTTTATAACAAAGTATAATTTTAATTATTACTTGTTAATACAAGAATTTTAATCTATTTATACTATATGTTATAATAAAGGAACATTTAAAACAAAACCCTTAAATTTGTATATAAAATTTTATTTACGAGAGACAAAATATAAAAAAATGAAAAATAATTATCGTACTTTTACTAAATAATCTATTATTTTATATAGGCTAGTAAAAGAAAAATGCTTCGCACCTCCAGTTTTTTAGACCCCCAGTGACCCCCAGTTGAGGTGGCACATCACGTGATTGTCATGTGACTATAAGACCCAAACACATCTTCACATTTCATTTTGAAATTTTCCCCCCTCAAATATGTATGTCTTCGCTCCAACGGTAACAGCTACTGAACCCCCACTTCGACGCTGGCGACCACTCATTCCCTTCATTCCGACACCGACAGCTCAGCCTTTCGTCAGATCGTGAACCGTACGTCTGAACAGATCTGAAGAAGAAGAACCTTCCGTCCGGGAAGCCCTTCGTCAGATCATGATTCGTAAAGCCCTTCCTCCGTCCGTGAGCCCTCCCTCAGATCTAAATTTTTTTTTTGATGATTGTTGTATCTGCATATATATATATATATATCTGTATATATATCTATCTGTGAAGCCCCGACTCTCTCTATGTATATCTGTGTATATCTGCGTAAATTTCTTGAATGTTTGGATTTAGTAGTTTTGACAATCTGATAAAGGAATTGAAAAATTAAAGTTTGGCCTTTTGATTTGGGACTTGAATTTGGCATTTTCATTTGGAAATTTTGGCCTTTTCATTTGGAGTCTTATATTGCCATAAACCTGTTCGATGAAATTCCTCAACGAAATGTTAAAATTATGAAGACCTGAAAAAGCTACTATCCTTGATTTGAAATTATGAAAATCTGATCATAAACCTGTTCATAAACTTGAAAAACCTGTTCCAACGAAATGTTTCATAAACCTATATCTATCTATCTATCCTTGATTTGAAAACCTGAAAAAGCTAGAATAAGCAATTATGAAAACCTGAAAATTTACGTGTTAACCTATATATGAAAACCTGTTAACCCGAAATCAAGCAATTTACCTGTATCAATCTGTTAACCCAAAATCTATCAAAAACCTGTTAACCTGTATCTATCTATCTATCTATCTATCTATCTATCTATCTATCTATCTATCAAACCTAAAAACCTGAAAAAGCAAGGAATCGAAAAAGTATCTATTTATCTATTAACAGGTAATTTACTTGAAAAATAATTAATTTTTCAGATTTTTTTTTCCAGGTTAACAGATAGACGGATAGTAAAACCTGAAAAATCATTATCTATCTATTAACAGGTTTTTCAAATTTTTCAGTAAAACCTATTAACAGGTAATTTACCCGAAGACCTGAAAAACCTAAAAACCTGAAAACCTAAAAAAATCACCTAAAAACCTGTATCTATCTATCTATCTATCTATCTATCTATCTTCTAAAATGAAACAGGTTTTACTTGATCATTTTGAAGACTAATGTGTCTAGATTTTTTATGCAAATCCCTTTCTTTTTTTAAAAAAAAGTAAGATTGACACATTAAAACAAAGAAAATGTGTCGACATCTTGAGGGACAAAAATGGGATCAAATGCAGGGAAAACACCTGAGAAGAAATGCAAAATAAATTTGAAACCTGGTTGCCAGACGTGAAGAAAAAGCTAACTGAAGTATATAGTCATACTTACAACAAAAGAAAGGCTTAGGAGCAGGAAATATCAAGTATCGAGATGGTGAAAACACACGCCGTCCACACCAGCCCTTAACATTAAACCCTAAAATTTGACATATAGCTGTTCCTTTCAAACAATTATCTGTTAGGGCCACTGTGGTCGTAGGCAAGGCAGAATCATAGTGGTAGCAAGTAGAGCCTACACAAGGTGAATTCATATAATAACCACATTAACAAAAGAGAGATAAAAAACACAACTCCTGGTAATGTAGGAAAATTCAAATAACCATATGTAATGATATTAAATAATTAAACATAAATCACAAACAAGACACATCTTCTGACAAAGAAGCTCTGGCAAAAGAAATCTCCAACAAAAACTCCACTTGCCTTTGATGAATGAAAACCTCAGATGTTATAGTAGGCGCCCGGAGTGCCTTCGTAGTTGTAGGGTCCCCTTATTTTGACTGTGGCATGTCAGAACAATAACTTGTTGAATTAAGGATGAAACCATCAACTTCTGGAGCCTGAAAATCCATCAGCTTCACTTTATCTCTCTTAGAAATTTCAAAAATTGCCCCTAACTTTTGAGGATGTTCAGAACTGTTCACTACATGTGACACAACATCCATCCCTTGTTGGCTGAAATCCCCATCCTCAACTAAGTCACTGCTTGAGGGGCTAGTGTCATGACAGTTGGTCAATGTAGACTGAGAAATAACGCTTCTATCTGAATGACTGCTAGTAGCATCCAATGATTGAATGAAGTCACAAGCACCTTGTCCCTGTAAGAATTTAAATAGCATTATGAACCACGAATAGCTTTTAAAGATTTATTCATCCAAGGAGATAAATTTCAGAAGTGCCAAAATAAATGAGTAGTTAATATCACAAACCCATCACTCGAACTCCATCTCTCAGCAGCAACAGCATGACAATCTGAGAATGGTAGCTCCACTACCTCTCTGTGAACTATTTTTTATTAACTTTAGGACTAGTACTATGATAAATGTGTTCCTTTGATTGGATGAAGTGTGCCTGGTTTGAAACTTTCTTGTTGGTTTTTATTTTTAATGTGCTTGATAATGAATATATGCAAGTGCTGTCATGTTAATATTTGTTAAATATTTAACTTCTAAATCAAAAGGTAGAGAAAATGTTAGCACACTGAGCTCTAGTGAAGCACCAAAGATGAAACATTTGATTGACACATGGAACAAAAGCAGAACAGGACAAATGCCCTGAACAGTTAGCACACTGAGCTCTAGTGAAAGATGTAGGATGAGAAGTATTAAGATCTAAATTGAGTGTATTAGCTAATAGTTATATCAGAAAGCAGAGAAAATGTTTTCCAGAGATTAACTAAAACATAAGCCATCTCTAATGTAAATACATTAATACCTAATTTGAATAAACTAATATAAGGTAAGTCCTTATCCTGACTGAAACTCTGGAAGACCAGTGTTGCTTATTAACTTAACATCAAACCAGTGTTGCTATTTGTCCCTTTTCAAATAAATGCAACCAACAAGAGTAACTTAACTTGTTAACTTAACTTATTAACTTTACTTAACTTACTATAATAGTTTATTACCCTTCATAACTTGCTATTTGTCCTTTTTTGCAGATGTCAAGTTCAAGCGTTAGTGGCAGTAGCTCAGATCGGTTGACATACGTCAACAGAAATTGTTGTACATGTAATAAAAAGGCCACCATTTTAATATCACAAATTGATCGAAACAAAAACAAGTTATTCTACTCTTGTAATGATTGTGGTTTTATCGGATGGTGTTTACCTACAAATCCAGAATATAGAGGTCATCAAATTCCAAGAGACGAAGTGCCAACTGTCGGCGAACAAGTTATGACCGAACATCTTCGAGCTATGATCGAACAACAAATAGAGATGACGGAACAATTTCGAATTCAGAACACAAAGATGCAAAAGTTGATATATATATATATATATTGTCCGTGTTGCTTGTAATTGGTGCCTTTAAACTTATGAATATGTAATAACATATACATACATATATGTAAGTTAGAAGTAGAAGTAGATGTCAATGTACAAGTTCAAGTAGACTGAATACTTTTGTGATGTTTTCAAGGAAGTTATGTTTTGTTGTGTATTGAAACCTAATTATTGTACCTCTTTTGTGGTGAGTGGAATGGAAAATGGCTTGTTCAAACTTGTACACTTTCTTCAATACTCATTGAATCGACATTGTTAAATACAGGAAATTGTTGAATACAAGGTAACTATTGTTGAATACAGGTAACCTATTGAATATACATGGTTGAATACAGCAAAACTATTTAATATACATTGTTGAATACAGGGAAACCATTGAATATACATTATTAAATACAGGAAAACTATTGAATATACATTGTTCATTACAGGGAAACTATTGAATACACATGGTTGAATACATGAAAACTGTTCAATAAACATTGTTCAATACAAAGAACTACTAAATAAACATGGTTCATTACTAAATATTGCAACATCTTCATTACATAACAAATAATAATAATAACATAACTTCATTAATAATTAGTATACCACATGTTTTACAAATCCACATGCTGAATCTCAATACCAAGGTTGTAACATAAGCTACAATCTCAAAAACAAAGTTTGAAACTCAGATTAATAGACTACATAATTTCCAATCTCAAAAACAAAGTTTGAAACTCAGATTAATAGACTACATAATTTCCAATCTAAAAAACAAACAGTTGGAATACATAGAAACTAGTCAAACAAGTCTGTAATAACAAAGCTTCCCGGTGTGCATGCATGAGAAACTGCTGGGGTTAGAGATGCAGAACCATAAATCTGAGTTGGAGCACTCATCAAACTTCCCTGTGTGCCACTTATGAAGTCCGATGGAGTAAGAGACGTGCCTGCAATACCATGGGCCACCTGTGACAATTCATTGCAAAAAGTACATGTTAGAATAATACACTTTGTAAAAGTACATGAAGTCCTTTTTCGAATACACTTTGTAAAAGTACATGAAAGCCTCTTTCGAACACGTACCGGTACAAACATACTATTTTGTGTGCCAACCATATAAGGATAATACGGTGTATATGCAGTAGCGTTAGCTTTAGCTTGAGCTTGAGCTTCAGCTTCAAATTGAAGCAACTTAGTAGCCTGTATGTTTTGAAAAATAATTAAAGATTGAAATTTATGAATTACTTTTACATACTTGAATAGAGTTTGTAAAAAAAAAAATTGAATACACATTTTACCTTTGCTTTTGTTTGTTTTTTTGCCGTTTCCTACAACCGATTAACAATTTGATCTACTTTGGCAACCTTCCGTTTCGTAACTGGAGGACCTCTTCCTCGAGCAACCAAATGACTAATCACCTTTCTACTAGTACCTCCTTGTGTAGAACCGGTGTGATTCGGACTTTTTGTGGAACATGGTAAATTATTCCCATCACCGGATTCTTCTTTCATGACTCTCTCCTTGATTTCATCCAACCCAAGATCTATAATTCTAGTTTTGCTTTCAAAGTTACCAGCAAGTTGTACAATGGCAATCAATTTTTTGTTCATCCTCTCATAGGTACTTTCATTGAAATCATTCCCAAAGCCGGTGTATGTGGTTTTGATGCATGCGTATTCTCTATCCACATCCTTTCTCCACCGGGGTAAAATGTATTTACTTGGCACCTCATTTATGCATCTTCTGATAAGCACAACGAGTGAGTGAGCACACATAATGACTCTAAACTCAAACAACCGACACATGCATTGAACTTCACATTCAGTTGAATTAAAATAGACAACAAAATCCACATGCTTCATCTTCTCACAAACTACCATCGCTTTTTGGACATTATATGTAGAAATTGATCCCTCCTCTTTCACAATCACCGCCTGCCAGTAAACTAATCTCTTCAACTCTCCTTGAACTTCTTTGAATTTCGCACTGGTGTAGGCTTGCTAAAATTGCTTCTCAAAACCATATATAGTTAGGCAATCAAACAATTTGTGTCGAGACTTGAAGTCTGCTTTCTTCTCTTTCTCTACCTTATTTCTCAAGGCATTGTCATAGTGTTCAACGAATTGCTTCAATGTAGTTTTTGGATTTACATATCCATCAAAAAACGCATTCATACTTTCACTTCGTTGTGTAGTTGACATGCCAGCCCAAAAAATGTCTTTAACATAGACAAGTACCCATCGATGCCGCTCATCATATAGTACCCCCAACCACTCATTATCATAAAGATTGAATGTTGCAAGCATCTCTTCCCATTTACTCTCAAATTCAGCTCTTGTCAAACAGTCATAAACTGCATTTTGCATAGCCAACTTTATGGCTTCATACTGAGCATATCCTTTCAACTTCTCTGGATGTCGAGCTTGTGGAAACACAATTTCTATAGCATTTTGCATAGCTCTACACTGATCAGTTATGATAGCTTTTGGCAGATGATTTGACATGCAACTTAACCATGACTTGAATAACCAAACAAATGTGTTAGGGTCTTCACTAACAATCCACAACCAAGCAAAATGGACTGTCCATGGTGATTAACTTCGACAAATGGAGCAAATGGCATGTCATATTTGTTCGTCAAATAAGTTGTGTCAAATGAAACGACATCTCCAGATGCTTCATAAGTCGCCCTACTTCTTGCATCAGCCCAAAACAAGTTTCTAATGCGAAACTCCTCATCAACATCAATCACATAAAAGAATCTCTCACTATGTGCTTGCATCCTCATAAAATAACTTTGAAGTGATTCGGCATCACTTTCCCAAGCCTCAACCTTCTAGCTCTCTCAATGTAATTTCTTGCATCTCGCTCGTCAAATGTCAATGACTCGTATCCCCCGCTTCAACAACCATTGAATGAAAGTTCCTAGACACCCCAATCCCTGCTTGATCATTAATTTCTAATCTTCTCTTCACCGGAGTAAGAATTTTCTTATTCATTGCAAAATGACGTGAGTCAATGGGAATCAAATCATGATTATCCTCAAGGTTAATTGTGGTTTGTTTATATCTCCCATCCTTTTGTACACTACCTCGTACCCTTGCTGTGCAACCAATTTTTGTGGACAAACATGGCTTCAGAGGGTTGACTTCTGATTTCTTTTTTCTCTGCCCCGCTCGAAAACATTAAATTGCAAAGTTTAGCAATTGCCCATCATCTCCAAAATGTTGTGCTCTATGAGCTATAGAAAATCCAACATGCTTAGCATATTTGCCATAAAATGTGTACACCTCTTCCCTTGAGCTAAAACACATACCCTTTTTAGGTTCTTCAACGTCTTTGCCCTCATTTATTAAAGGATTCTCACCAACATTTGAATCAGCCTCCATTTTTCCACTTTGCGTACTGAAATAACAATTAAACAAATATCAGTTCCCTAACAATGCCCAAACAAAATATTGACTTCATTATATAACAATTATGGAACTAAACTTCATATTTCAGATTTTATATAAACTCCATTCAGAATGATCACTGTGAACCAAATTTCAGATTACAGATTATATAACTCATATTTCAGATTATATAACACTGCCCAAATTTCATATTTCATATTATATAACAATTACTCATATTTCAGATTACTCATATATATTTCAGATTTCATAGGTCCAAAATGTCAAATTTCACATTAGGGAAGAGAACTAGCATATAACTGAATTAGCATATAACTGATTTTAGATTTCAGATAACTGATTCCAAAATGAATTAGCATATAACTGATTCCTAATTTCAAATAACTGATTCCAAAATGAATTAGCATATAACTGATTCCAAATTTCAGATTAGGGAAGAGAACTGATTTCATATAACTGAATTAGCATATAACTGATTCCAAAATGACAAATTTCAGATTTCAGAATTAGCATATAACTGAAAGAGAACTCATTTACTCATTTCACTATTCAGATTTCAGAATTAGCATATAACTGAAAGAGAACTCACGCTAGATTAGTCATATGAAATTGATTTTTTATCTCATAAACCGCCGATCCAGATTACATGCGAGACAAAGACACAACGGGAGATAGAGAGCGACAGAGGAGCTAAGGACAGACGATGGAGACAGACAGAGGACAACCAGATTGATGGACAGAGGACAACCAGATTGATGAGAGCGATGAAGATTGAGGATAGATGAGAGCGACGAACAGAGATACAGGTTTGTAAAAGGGACAAATAGGGACAACTAGAGTTCCCGGTGAGCTATGGCTGTCGTTGATGGCGGAGAGCTACGGTGGAGGAGGAGGATGGCGGCGAGAGGTGAGGATAGACGAGGGAAGATCGTGGAGACAGGTTTGGTTCCCGCTTTTTCTAGATTTTGTTTTTGTTTTGTTTTGTTTTGTTTTTTTTTTTTTCCAATTGTGTTTACACATCAGCTACCACCTCATCTGCCATGTCACTAGGGGTCATTGGGGGTCGGAAGTCACTGGGGGTCTATAGCGGCGTTGGCTAGTACAACATAAATTCAAATTCGAATTTTGTTCGGTCAATAATGGACACATTAAAATACTGTCCATAAAGACATATTTAGACGAAATGACCAAAATATTCATGTATATATATTATACTAGTGAGAGGGCCGCGTGCAAGGCACGCTAACTAATGCCCAACAGTGCCCATTACGTTTTTGTTTTGAACTAAAATTTATAAACATATCTAGTCTAGAGTAGAAAATTATATGGAGAGAAAAACGTTACATAGATATAAACCAACTTTGAAATGAGCCATTTGATTAGTGGAAAACAATTGGAAAAGAATTTGTCGCAAGAGATAAACATAATCGGTAATACTCAAAAATAAGTGTAACAAAATAACCAAGCGATTTTTCACTCCAAGCATCCAAACAAAGCAAAATAATCTCCCTCTTGTAGCAAAGAACTACAGCAGCAGAAAATATACGGTAGCCATATGACAAGTAGTACCCTACTTCAAACAAGTAACATTAGTAGTCGGTGGTATTACATGTACCAATTAGTATATCAATTAGTATATTAACATATGTTATGACATTATTACTTTAAAATTATAACTCCATCCATTATACAAATTATAAATACCCAAAATATCTATAATTATATCACATCATCTATTAGTACATTAATTAATATATCAATTGGTGCATATAGAATTATTCAACAAATAAACATAACAAACATGTACCTTGCCTTGCCTTGTCTTTTCATGGGTAGCTACCTTGCAAACATAAAATAAACTCCCAAAAAAGTTGAAGTAAGACTTCAGATACAATTATAATTTACTGGCTAATGTGAGGTTCTAAATTTAAAGAAATCAATCAAATACAAATTGGAAAAACAAAAGAAGAAAACTGTAGCAGAAACTGGAAAATAGCTTTGAAAGCCACTGTATACAAAGCAGCTAAGGCTCTTTATTTTATTTTATTTTTGGATAAATAAAACCTAAGGCACTTTATTTTCCAAGTGCAAAGAACAAATGAAGGATATAGAGTAAGATTTTGTAAAGAGAGTAAAACACATCACTCCAATCTCTGAAATGTAAATCATGTGTGAATATATCAGTCACAAGAGCTAAATTGTATTTAAGGGGAAATCGTAAGAAATAGTTAGAAGTATATTTTATTACTCTAAAGACAACTCACCTATTACACGGACTATCGAAGCAATTAATTTAGTCAGAGGCAGGGAAAATCTATTGATAAACTTCACAACCAATACACTCCACTTCAGGTAAGCACATGAAAGGTAAAGTACCCAAATCAGTTAGCAAAATACCAATTTTTGCAAAGAAAGAAATGAAACCTCCTTTTTTTCCTTTTCATAGACCTCAAACTGGTAAAAGCTTAGCGAAAAACATGTTATTGACCCTCAAACTCAGCACTAAAACCATTAGCGAAATTAGAAGCTAATAGTTGTCAAATCCATGCAAACATAAGCTTAAAGCAAAGAAATACAAATCCATGAAAGTAGAAGATACCAAAATAGAAAACGAAACCGACAAATAGACAACACGGTAAAGGTCAACCATAAGTGGGGAAAAAAAGACAAAAAAATGGAATTTTTAAATAACATAGATAGGAATTTATGGAAGTAAACACCCAAAAAGAACAAAGACTACAAACTTTCTGACAGCTAGCTCATGCTCAAAAGCAGAGATAAACTGCTAGTTCTAAAATGCGAGCTCCTAAATTCAAGAACCACTTTTCAAACACAACCTGTCATCATTGAATGAAATTTGGAAGACATGTTCTATAAGGACAAGCAAAAAGTAGCAGCAGTTTTTTTAATTGAACATCTGAATTGAAAAAGAAGAATGTGAAGAAAAATGAGTACCACCACTGACACCAAACAAAGAAGAAATACCAAGGGTTTTGATGCATTACAAAACATAGAGATATATATAGAACCAGCATCTTTCAATTACTTTATTGCAGATGTGTACAAATTACAAATAAAGAATAAGTCTAATTTTAAATATATTAAAAACATAAAAGCAAGGAAAATTCAAGAACAAGAATGAGAAGGAAATGTGCAATTAAAAGGTAAAAGAACTTAAAATAACAGGTTCATGAATGATTTGCAACATTGTCCTAATCTATACCTTCATATTTCTTTTTATTTTGATGAGTAGCTTCTAGTTTCTAACTATAATATTCTTTTCTTTCAAATACCTTAACAAAAAAGGACTGAAATCTAGTTATGGTTCCTTCTGTTTTATAGTATGATTTTTTTTTTTATTTTTTTTTTTTATAAATTCCTTCTGTTTTATAGTATGATTACCTAACATAATAATGCGCGGACTTTGTTAATTTCAATTCGGAAATAATATTCACCTTCTTTAGGTTGGTACCATTTGAAGAATTGTTTTCAAAATGAATTTAAGCAGGCCCATAACTCACAGGATCATTCCTTTTATATCATAACACATCATGAATTCCCATTGAAGAGGCTTATTCTACTGCGACTCAAGTAGAATTCATAACATTCAAATTATACACCCATTGTAACATCATAACCCTCCTTTTGTGCTCCAACAATACCACAATCTGACCCCAAGATCAGATGATTAGAAGTTGTTAGCAATCTCAAATTACATTTAACAATTCAAATACCATAGCTCATTGTCAATTGTATTATATATACTGCTAGGAGACTTCACAATTGTTAACAAAAAAAAAAAAAGAAAAGAAAATTAATCGCACGAAGAATTGGGATAGCCAAACATGCTTACGATGTTCTAATGTAAGGAATTTGTGTTGGTTAATCATGCAGGGAAATAGCTGTCTACGAAACTTTCTTGCGGCCATATGTAGCAAAGCACAAGCTGGACATTGACAGGAATTTGCAGCAACTGAGGACCAGGGCATGGGACTTGGTGTTTTACTATCAGTGAAAGTGCACAAAGCTGGGGTAAACAACATTCTTCCAAATTATTTAGTACATGGTTGCTTAGTCTAGAAATATCACAAAAACTAAAAATGAGGTATGGTTTTCCCATGTTAGCTCTCTCTCTATCATTTTTAGCTTGCAGGTAACTCAAGTGTGCTGGTCCATAGTGGCATGACATGCATTTGTAAATGACAAATTTGAATTTTAGAAATACTTTTGGTATATATGAATTTGATGGCCTGAAAATCTAGGCCATATAAGTATTTTTTACGACATTATTAAACTGAGCCTTGTTTTTTGGTTGTAATTTTTGTCAATCCTTTCGAAAAGTACCACTTGGTTAAACAAATTTCAATTGCAGAGATTTGTTACAAATCTCTGCAATTGAAATTTGTTACTAAATGTTTATGGGAAGATGATTTGTGATACCTAAACATAAATCACTTGTGTGAAGGTGGTCTTGTTTTCGTTCTTCATGATTTCAAAAGCAAATATAATGAAAAATTTGAAACACCTATCATTTTCATTTTTATGCAAAAAAAAAAAAAAAAAAAAAAAAACAGTTTTAAAATGTAAAAAACAACTTTTTGATATTTCCTAAAAGGGAGTTGCTTTCAGAAATTTTTTCCCAAAACAATTCACCAAACAATTTTTACTTGTGTTTTTGCACCAAAAAAAATGAAATATGAAACAAAAAATCAAAACACAACCAAACAGACAACCATATTGCTTGAGCCCAATGTTAAGAAGACAAGTACATACCATAACTTAATGTTAAGAAAACAAGCACATACCGTTAGCTTATGTAATGACTGTCCTCGTTGACACATTGAACAACCCACCTTAATGTAGCTAACAATTCATAATGTTTTTGACTTCAAGGTAGTTGCAACAGTCTTGTGGCAATATCTTCAATCCACAAGGCAGATTGATGGACTACATTATCTTGAAGTTTTTGTTCTGCTTTGTTTCTAATTGATATTTTGAAGTCATATTAGATTTAACTATTAATGAATCTTTGTATGGTTTCTTTGAAGTGTTTCAAAAAGAGAGTTTTCTTCACTTGGCTTTCATGTGTTTTTTTTTTTTTTTTATTGGCCACTTGACTTTCATGTCAAAGGCATCCTCCATTAGGTGATGTGCTACTGTGCTTGATTGGCCACTTGACTTTCATGTTAAAGGCATCCTCCATTAGGTGATGTGCTACTGTGCTGTTGTAAATCATTATATAAGTGAATGATTGACGAGATAATGTGTATCTTTTGTTGCTGCTACATTTTTTAGCCAGAGTATTTGGATCTTTGTATAAGGGGAACATAGGCAAATATTGTCCCATTTTTTTTTTTACTTATTATGATTATTATTGTTATTTTTCTATTTTCTTTCATTTCATAGTTCTCATGAATGATTTGGTTTTGAATTAGATTGAGGCTGATTGGAATCATGTTATTGAACTTGCTAAAGTTCGAATTGCTTTTTGAGTTTAGGCAAGTAAGGAAGATATTCCTTTTCAATATTCACAGGATGATATCTTGGAAAGTTTTGAAGTTGAATTAGTGCTCCAAACTATTGAGTTTTAGAAGTGCTGAATGTTTTTATAGGCTTTTGTATTTCCTAACTGGTTTGTGGATCACCTATGTACTATGTTGATCATTTTACTTCTATTTTTTGACAATTGTTCCATGATAATTGCTTCTGCTGGTAGTGTTCTTTGGCAAAACATGCTTGCTTGCTTTGCCTTTGTAGCTTTTGTACTGTTACTTTAATAAAATATTTATGATTGATGAATGTTTAACGATATGATCAGTGGTTGATGTTGAATCAATTTTCAAATCATTTATATAATAGTTACCCTTGCATTTTTATTTTTTTTAACAAGTAGGATTCTTATATATAAAAAAATTTTAAAAACCTTTTTTTTTAAAAAAAGGTAAAAAAAATCAGACCTGTTCAGAATAATAATTACGAATGAAGAATAGTGTATTCCACTGTTATATGAACACCTAACATGCAAAAGGTAGTAGTAATATTATAGCTGAAATTGAACCGAACGAACAACAAGGCAGATTGAAGGACTACATTATCAATGGTTGTTGTTGAACAAAAAACTTGTAGTTTAAGAGGCATTATTTTTAAATTGGTGAAGATATCTAGCATGAGTTTCTAAGTAATAAAATCTCTATGAATAAGTTTCTAATGTGTCTGCGAAGAGGCTAAGTACATAAAAAAGATTCTTAGATATTTATATATCATATATGGAACATTTTTTTTTTCAAAGCAAACAATAAACTTCAGCAAAAAATCAATTTCACATAATTATTGTACAACATATAAGAAGAATTTAAGAAACCCTAACTCTATACAGTGAGAGCCCAACAAACTTCTATAGAAAATACCAAAATTAATTTTCATGAAACTAACTTGTAAGTTAGATTAAAAAAATGTACAGGACAAAAAACAAAGAATAGAAGAGGAGTGTATATCTGGCTGGAAAAAGGGGGGGAAATTAGGGGAAATGAGAAGTAGGCTCCAAGGTACAATCCAACAATATATGTATGTACACACAATGAAAATTTTAAAAATTATCCCATAACAACTTAAAATTTAAAATTAACTAACTAAGAACAAAATAGGACTAATAATGCTGAACTATCAAATATAATAACATAACAACTAAAATCTTCTTTACATGCAGAGAACAAGGTGGTTACATAGTGCTATAAGATTCTACAAGCAGATAAGATAAAAACACATCAAAAGGGAAAAAGCAAAAAAATGAGAAGGCCAAAAAAAGGCAAAAAAAAACCAAATTTTTTTTTTAAAAAAACAATTAAAAATGACCAACAAACATAGTGAAACAATTTAATACCATTTCTCCCCTAAACAAACAGTAACAAAATAACAATACAAGAAAATAGTGCACTACCTCAAAATAAACAAGACAAAAAAAACTCCTAACATTAAGTACAGAATTCCAAAGACCTCAACACAGAATAGGATCAACCAAGTTAGTTTTTAGCTCAAATTGTAAGCCAAATTGGAGAAAGGAGGGAGGAGATCGGTGAGAGGAGAGAGGAGGGAAGAGGTGGTAGAATATCGTGGTCGGTAGAGGGAGATCATCGTTGAGAAGATAAGGGAGGGTTCTCTGAGACAGATTTCAGATCCTTTGATGTGATAAACTGCTGTAAGTAATTTGAGGTTAGTTTTCCATTAATACCCTTGCATCCAAAGAAGAAAAGCTATAAAGCACAAGGTCAAAACCGACTTTTCAACTATTAAAAACACTGTTCATATTTGGCTGAAATTACTGTTTACCTTGTATCCGTGCTTTATATATATTGTATAGATACACGTTTTAACAAACCTCAAAACACCATTGTGTAAGACCCCTCAAGAACTTGGAGTTCCCTTAAGGGTTCTCCAATTTTAGATTCAAGAAATTAAATTTTTTTTATATACAATCACAACTAAGTTAAGGATCCTAATTTTCGTAACCGAACACCAATTGTTTTAGATTAACAAATTTTTTTAAAAAAAGTTAGTGTTCAACCCATTAAAGAAACCAATTTCACAATAAGCAATTGACATTGAAGATATTTTTCCCATCACAAAGAAATATGAAACCACTAAATATGAAGCAAACCATTGGCGAAGACTCCAATGCCTACGTGTAGTTTTCCTCACATTTCTATTTAACCCTCCATAGTGGCCCAAGGCATTGACCCCCAATCAAATTAAAACATGATTCATATTAATGTGGCATAATTCTCTTTTATGAATGAAACTCAAACAAAAGTCATTTCCAAACCAAAAAAAATAAAAAATAAAAGTAATGAAGAGAAAAGATTGGACCTTTAACCATTCAAATCGACGTTTAAAAGTGATCTTAAGAAATTATTGAGGTTTATTGAACTTTTCACACAGATGATATATTTTTCAATTTAATCAAAGGAATAAAATTAGTAATAATTTTTTTTTTAAAAGTAAGGCAACTTTTTGCAAACCCATTTCACAAAAGACACCTAATGAGGCAAAGAAAACCATTGGCCGAGACTACAAGTTGCACAGTTTTTCCATACCCAAACCTTAACATCATTTAACCTAAGAGTGGAATAAAACCAAAAAAAAAAAAAAAAACAAAAAGAAAAGATTGGATTCACACCATTGATTTATTTTTCAATTCAATTAATGGAATAAAAATCAGTAATAATAATTTTTTTTAAAAAAGTAAGGCAACTTTTTGCAAACCCATTTCACAAAAGACACCTAATGAGGCAAGGAAAACCATTGGCCAAGACTACAAGTTGCACAGTTTTTCCATACCCAAACCTTAACATCATTTAACCTAAGAGTGGAATAAATAAAAAATTTAAAAAAAAAAAAACATGAAAGGAGAATACTTAACAGAATAACAATTAAAGATAAATTTTGTTGCCCAAAACAAATCCCAACATAGGTTAGGAATTTCAACAAAGCACAATCAAATATGCATAATATCATATTAAAAAAAATAAATAAAGTTTATCTACTACATATTATTTCAGTAGGTTAGGGATTTCACTAAAGCCCAAACATATCAACATTTCATAATATTTTAAGCCTTTAAAAATCCACAACAATGAAAAACAAATCAATGAAACCCTCTTTTACCCAAAATGAATAAGCCACAAAATATACACACAGTAAACATCATGCAAACAATAATAAAAAGAACAAAACCCTAACAAATTAACAGAATCAAAGAAAATTAAAATACTTTACAAACCCTAACTGAATCAAAAGGAACCTAAAATCGAAATACCTAACATTCTTCATCTATGTATTTACCTTAATAGAAGCTTGTGTCGTATTCTTCCATCCTTAAGCTCAATTTCCGTTTGATTCGCTAGTGAACACTATGAATACCCACAAAAAATAAAACAAAATCGGCACCACAAGGAGACGTCATTGGTGGTTGCCAGAGGAGAAAGGAGGGAGGAAATCGGTGAGAGGTGAGAGGAGGGAAGAGGTGGTAGAATATCGTGGTTGGTAGAGGGAGATCATCGTTGAGAAGATAAGGGAGGGTTCTCTGAGACAGATTTCAGATCCTTTGATGTGATAAACAGCTGTAAGTAATTTGAGGTTAGTTTTCCATTAATACCCTTGCATCCAAAGAAGAAAAGCTATAAAGCACAAGGTCAAAACCGACTTTTCGACTATTAAAAACACTGTTCATATTTAGCTGAAATTACTGTTTACCTTGTATCCTTGTATCCGTGCTTTATAGAAAAATGCTTGGGAGCACTAATTAGTGCTCCCACTAATTAGGTGGCAGTGGGTCCCGCCATGAATGATGTGATGTTTTGGTCTTGGAGTTGTAATTTTTTTTTATTTTTTTAATACATTAGTACTATTAGTGATGATGTTTTTAGTGGGATGAATCATTGTTGTGCTTTATATATATTGTATAGATACACGTTTTTTTTTTGTTCTTCAAAACCTTGTGTAAGACCCCTCAAGAACTTGGAGTTCCCTTAAGGGTTCTCCAATTTTAGATTCAAGAAATTAAATTTTTTTTATATACAATCACAACTAAGTTAAGGATCCTAATTTTCGTAACCGAACACGACTCTGACCACCACTGTCGTCGCCGTCGATCTGAACAGATCGTGAAGAGGACACAATCTGTGAAGGCAGAGATGATCGGAGCTGGAGTTGCCGGCTTCGTCGTCGCCCACGAGCTTCAAAGAGAAGGCCACCGACGACGACACGATGGCATGATTCTCATCGATTAGCTCCTTAAGATTGTCGACGTTCATCAATGAACCTCATAGATCGTCGACCTTAGATCGATCCTCCTCGGTCCTTTTCTCTTGGGGCTTCAATCTTTCCTGATTGGTTACAAACTCTTCTTGCATGAAAAGATAGTCCTTGATTCGCTCAAGCTTCAACAACCTTAGCTTGCACTTCGTTAGTGGCGTCACCGTCAAATTTTTTATTATCCGTTAAATTTTTATTTTGTTTCTTTTCTATTCAAACTATCTATTTAATTTTTTATCCGTTAAACTCAAATTTGAAGGCTCAATTCCATGTCTTATCGATTTCATGTTTCAAAACTCAAATTTTTTCTATACATACATACATTTATATATATATATATATATATATATATATATATATATAAATGTATGTATGTATAGAAAAAATTTGAGTTTTGAAACATGAAATCGATAAGACATGGAATTGAGCCTTCAAATTTGAGTTTAACGGATAAAAAATTAAATAGATAGTTTGAATAGAAAAGAAACAAAATAAAAATTTAACGGATAATAAAAAATTTGAGCAGATAGGCAAAAAAAAAAAATTAAATAGATAAAAAAATATATTTGAATAAATAGCCAAAAAATTAAAAAGATAAAATATTTGAACATATAGTTAAAAAAATTAAACAGCTCTTATCCCTGGCAGTGGCCTGATAAGCTTATCTGGTCTCCATCTCCTAATGGGAAATTTTCCATCATATCTGCTTGGAATGCTTGGAGGCTCTCTTTTGATAAGGTCCATTGGTCTGATTTGTTGTGGAATGCTATGTCTATCCCTAAGGCAAGTTTTATTGCTTGGCTGGCCATTCAAAATAGACTTAACACTGGGGATAGACTTATGTCTATGCCTAAGGTAAGTTTTATTGCTTGGCTGGCCATTCAAAATAGACTTAACACTGGGGATAGACTTAAACTTTCTGGAATTTTCTTTGTTGCTACTTGTCCTTTGTGCTAGTATCATACTGAGAACCATTTCCATTTGTTCTTTTATTGTCCTTTCTCTGAGAAAGGTTTGCTAAATGTGAAAGATAAACTAAATGTGGCTTGGCTTGTGATGCAATGGCCTGGCTTGGTTTCTCATATCAGCAAAATGGTTAAAAGTAAGTCTCTTAGTTCCATAATCTCTAGGCTTACTTTCACTTGCTCTGTCTATCTCATTTGGCTTGAAAGAAATAATAGAATTTTCACCACAGAAAAAATCCCTGAAGAAGTTGTTGCTTTGAATATTTTTTAATATGATCGGGTTCAGGGTCTTGTCACTTAAAAATGTTTAGAGAAATCCAAATGATGAATGGTTCTTGGCTACTTGGAGATTGCCAGATTCTAATCTTAAAACAGTCATCTTACTGTGCAATACTGTATGGCCACGTTTGTTTGGGTGGACATAAGGTTGGGATTGGACTAATAGTCCAATAAAATTATTAATCCGATGTTTGATTAAACAATTGAAATAGGGACTAATTATTTTAAACTTGACTTTTAGTTAAGATAGGATACATAATCCAACGGATTTGTAGTCCTAGGACTATTAGTCATGGGAATGCTAATCCAGTCCGCTCAAACAAACATGGCCTATATCTGTTGCTAAACAGTCCTCTGCATCTCCAAGACATTGTGTGTGAGTAATGGAGAGGATTAGTGGGTTGAGTGACTGTAAGCTACCAAAAAAAATAAAAATAAAATTCCTGTTATCCCTTGTCCTTAACTGAATGTTTGTAGGTTGTCAAGTTGGCCTAATCTTAGGGAAAGTGGGTTGAGTGATTGTAAGTTCTAAATTAGGCAGTGGAGGATTTGTGAGCTTGAAGGTTGAGTGAAGTGAGTTCTGCTGTACAAGTTTATAATCTTTACCTGTCATTCAATTTTGAGCTGGTGTGTCTAAGGATTGAGAGTTTTTTTTTATTTTTTTTTTGGTGAGACTTGTTGACAGGTTAAGATCATACCAGATATAATCTGTTATACTAACTGTTGTGTCTGTAGGTGACAAATCTGGTACTTTTTGTGAGGGAGTTATTTGTTTAGGGTTGAGTGAAGAGAGATCTACATTCTTCGAGAGCTTTTTTCTTTATCTTCTTACTTCACTTTTGTGCTCAACTATCTTTATATCTTTGCTGAGCATGAGTGCCTATATGTGGGTTGAGATTGCGAGGTTACATAAAGTGAGTCTTGTTAGAGATCTGAGCACAGTCTCTTGTAGGGTCTGTTTATCATTGTTGGTGTTCACAAGTAGTGCTGAGGTGTGATGGAGGTTGCTCTGTTTGGTGGGAGCTTGAAGGACATCAAGAGGGCCAAGCTGCAAATATGCGCCTGTCCTTTTAGTTGTTCTCAAATAGAATTGTTGGTGTTTTTATTATACTGAATTTGTACAGATCTTGCCTTTGGTTCCTTTAATGCGTCTGCTATCTGTCTGCTACAATGCAATAATTTGCTAATTTGCTGATCTACTACTATGCTGCATGCTGCTATGCTGTCTTGTTTTGGGCAATTGTGCTCTTTTGTTTTGCTGTTGTGTTGTCTAGCTGTGTTGATATGCTGGAACCTGTTTGAGTATTCTGCTATCTAGTAGTCTCGTGATAAAAAATGAGTGAGACCTCTAAAATTGGAGCTCTAAAGGGGCATTAATTTGTCCTTTTCCCCCTCCTGTTTTGTCTTTTACCTTCCTCTGTTTTTTTTTTTTTTTTTTTTAAATGGTGACAGCTCATTAGAGCTGCTTTTGAGCAGCTCTAATTAAAGCTCTCTAGCAAAGCCCGTCTCGTGATAGGTTTCATACGTGTCTTGTTTTTTGTTCAGGGTCCCTATTTTATGTTAGATATGGATGTTGAACAGAAGTATGGGTTAGATAGTTTTAGGTTGCTTTGTGTCATGATGCTAGCCTTTTGTCTTAGCTTTTTACTTTGGTTTTAGCTGTTCGTCTTTTGCTTTGTATAATTGTGCAGGACCTGGGGCATATCCCTTGAAATCTTGTAATTTTTCTGTTTTAATTTATGACTTATTCAAAATAAATAAATAAATAAATAAAATTAAATAGATAAAAAAATTCAACAGATAGATTAATGGGTAAAATTAAAAGCAAAATGTATTCCAAAATAATAAAATGTATTTCTCACTATAATATTTTACCAAGAGTGTACTTCTCGCAATAAAATAAATAAATAAATAAATAAATAAATAAAACTCATGGAACCTAATGTCTTGTACCATTTTTAAATTAGATTTATTACCACTTTTCTCTATATTTAATGAAGTAAAAAATTACAATATTCATCAGCTTATATTCTCCGCATAAACCAATATAATTTAAATTGACTTGATTAATAAGTTATTTAAATTTAATTTAAAATTTTAATGAGTTCTAATTGAGTTCATTATGGATTGAGTGTGAATAATTTTATTTCTTATTCCATTGGACGTAGTTTGGGATGAGTTAAAAAAAATTAACGAATTTTGAAATGTATTTAAAATTGAATTAATTATTCAATTATTAAAAAACTGAACATAAATATAAGTTAAACTTGTGTATCTTAATTGGTTTGATAATTATTTTTTTAACAGCAATGGTTGAGGGCCACAATTTTTGTGGCTCAAATGGCTCAAAATTGCCAAAACGACGTCGTTTTTATTACAAAATGACGTCGTTTTGATTACAAAATGACGTCGTTACAAAACTGAACATAGATATAAGTTAAACTTGTGTATCTTAATTGGTTTGACAATTATTTTTTTAACAGCAATGGTTGAGGGTCACAATTTTTAGGACTCAAATGATTCAAAATTGTCAAAACGATGTCGTTTTGGCAATTTTGAGCCATTTGAGCCACAAAAATTGTGGCCCTTAAACATTTTTCTTTTTTTAATATGGTCTTTTTGGGTACATGTTTTCATACTGTTTATGTTGGTAGGAGGAAGGTGTCACTTGACCATATTTATTTGGAGGAACTACATACAGGTGAAAGAAAGAGGAAAAAAATAACCAACATATGAGAGATACAAGTGACACTTGCCCCCACAATCTTTCATTCGCAACTTATGTGTTAATAATTTTTTTTCTCCTTCTCTCATCTGCTTACATTTAATTAATTAATTAATTTTTTTGGGTCCATGTTTTCATACGGGTTATGTTGGTACGATCAAGGTGTCACTAAGAAAAATATGGAAAATGTTTGAGGGCCACAATTTTTGTGGCTACAATGGCTCAAAACTGTCAAAATGACGTCGTTTTGGGTGCAAAATATGCCAAAACGACGTCATTTTGACAGTTTTGAGCCATTGTAGCCACAAAAATTGTGACCCTCTAGCATTGTTGGAAAAATATTACATATA